CTAAGTGCAAATAGCTATACACACCTATCCTTGTACTATGACTTACATTTTGTTGTAAAATGCTGGACACTGCCAAAGTGTGAGCGTGGATGTTAGAGAGCCAAAAAACAAACAAACAAAAAAAGAAATGGTCTTGAATGTGCTCTGTTAAGGAGTAACACACCTGAGCAGGAAATTTGTACACTAGTTATTTTAAGGTTTCCAAGCGTCTGCCACTGTGTGTTATAGCATGTGTAAAATTCTCCCTGGAAAACTGTTTTTGCTGTTTTTTTTTTAAATGATCATATTTCAAAACACCTGTTGAAAAAAAACAGTCTGCTAAACACATCATGTCTTTGAATAGTGCTTTATAACATTTTATAATTTAAGGTATAATTAAATTTATTAGGTATAATTTTCCTTACCTAATAACACTTCAAACATAAATACAGTATGAAAAAAGAAAGAAAGAAAGAACTAATGATGTAAGTGTTGTCGTGAGTTGTGGAACCCATGGAACTTTCCAGAGATGTTCAGGTTCCGGTTCAAGTCAGGGGTCCATAGTGCTCTAGGGCACGGTTATCATTAAGGATGTCTCTGCTGCATTCATCTTTCCCTTGACCCTGACTTGTCTCTCAGTCCCTGCATCCCACAGCATGATGCTGCCACCACCATGCTTCATTGTAGCAGGCCAGGAGATGAGCGATGCCTCGTTTCCCGCAGATCCGATGCTTGGCATTCAGGCCAAGCATCTCGATTAAGCCCACTCTTCCCCATTAGCTCAGAAGAGTCTAGAGACTCTAGGAAGAGTCCTGGTGGCTTCAAACCTCTTCTATTTGCAGATGATGGAGACCACTGTGCTCACTGGGACCCTCAATTATGCAGAAACTTTTCCCATACCCTTCCTCAAATCCGTGCCTTGATACAATCCTGTCTCATAGGTCTACAGACAGTTCCTTGGACTTCACAGCTTTGATTTGATTTTATTGATTAGCATTCAAATATCTCAATGAATACAGAACAAAGATCTACCACAAAGATAGAAAGCATGAGACAAGGCTAATCAAAAGGTATTGGCTGAAGCATTTGAGATTGCTCTCAATGAGAAGCTGGTGCTGCTCTGAGAGGGTTTCTTTGAAGTCATTCATATTTAATTTTTGTACCTTTGAGGTCAAAAGGGCACAAACCAAGTTGTCACAAACGGTGACAGCTTGGTTTGTGCTCTGACATGCACACGATGGGCCCTTATGTAGACAGTTGTGTGCTTATTGGGCTCACATCCAGGTGGACTTCACTTAAGCAGCAGAAACATCTGATAGATGATCAATGGAAATATTGTAGTTTTTGTTTAATAAACTTACAAGAACTTTTCACCTTGTCATCATGAGGTAGTGTGTAGAATTTCGAGGTGAAAAATGAATTTAATCATCTTCCCTACAAGATGATGAAATCTCTCTGATTACAACACAAAGATCATCAAACATCAATCAAATGGAGCCTGTTAGATTTTTTTAAAGCGCGTTTGAAGAATTAACATTCGAGTGAGCGCCTCTGTTCTTCATCTGAACACCCGGGGTTTTTCTCATTTGTATCACTCGAGAATAAATCGAGTCCAGACACAGTGAGGATTTGCGCAGGTATGCGACTGCAGAGCTCTGTTTCGTCAACACACATAATGCTGGAAGCATTGTTTACTTCCTCTCCTTTAATTTCTCCTGGCACAACGGCAACCTCTCTAATGCTGCTTTGGTACTCTTCCCTTGCTCGCCGTTTCATTGCGTGTAGTTTTGAATCTTTAACTAGTTACACAGCTTTGTTTACACGTGCATTACCACTCACATCTGTTCCAATAGAGCTTTCTCATGGTCCGAGTTGTTCAGGTGCCTGTAGACAAACTTAGTGGGCTGTCATGCACGTGAGTGACCTGACTGCTGGGGTGCTCTCCCCGTCTCTCATCTATGTGAAAGACCTCCACAGGGCCGTGCATATTTCTTTTAGAACTCAGATCTTTCCTACATTCATGCCTAACATCCAGACGACTCCAGTGTGTGAGAAGCACTACAGGAGAATTTACTGCATTTTAGCGTGAATGAATAGAAACACATCATGTTTGGAAACGATGACACCCACGTTTGCTGTCTAATTGGGTATTCCCCGTCACACCCCTAACACACAGGAGGCTTCTGGAAGAAAATAAAGACATCAGACTCGACAACAAACAGTTAGAACGACAAAAGAAGAAGGGAAGGAAGGGAAAATCTTGTCTATCCTAACCCATTGTATTTTTGTATTACTGTGAGAACTATGCTCATTTCTATATTTGAATGTGATGTAGGCAGGTTTGATATATGGATGGATGTGTGAATGTGAGGGTGTTCAACATTTGTTTGTATTGTACTATAAAAAATTTCAATAAAAATATATGGGGAAAAAAAAAACAAAAAAAAACAGAACGACACAGATAACATTGCTGATGTTGTCTGTAGATTTGAGGGTTTTTTCAAGCATTCACATGTGCAAAGATTCTTTTTAATTAACTTAACCGGTACTAACTGCACACCTGCACCCCATTTATATTGGCTATTGCGCTTTGGTTACCTCTCTGCCCGAGGCTGTGGCCAGTTTGGCTGGGCAGCCAGAGTAGACTGCAGGAAGTTGCGAGCTTCTCCAATTTGAGAAAGATTAAGGATTAGCAACTCTTGCAGTTTAGCTGTGTTTCTGACCAGATTCGAGTAGAAAAGCACTATATGCATGTGTATATGTGTGCTTAACTGATTTATTAGACCACGTGTCATAAAAACAAGAAAACAAAACTATTTTAGAAATCTGTCAAAAACATATTAAAACTAAAAATGACTTAAATCACATTTTTTTATACCAGAAAAAACACTATGGACTTCTCTTAGAAGTCAGAAATGAA